CCGCGCACTCGGCGGCGGCGCCCTGGCAGCCAGCCGGTCCCCCGCGGGGCGACGTTATTTAAGCTGGACTAAAAGGCACAAAACACCAGGAAAATACGCCTTTCCCCCCCGTCCCCAGCCTCCGAATCGCGGGCAAATCTCGCCTGAAGTAACAGAGCCGGGGACGAGGTTAAAAGAGGGGCTTGCCCTTAGCGGTAGTGCGGTGAATGAGAGGCGGGCGGCCGTTGGGGGGAGGAGAGGGGATTGAGCGCTGTTAAAATTTAGGCCGAACACTTGGGTACAGAGCATAAGTTTCCAGGAAATGAGAGGTTTGTGAGCCATGAGACTGTCCTGGCTCTGTGGAGACCTGTGGAAGACAACTGAGAGAAGTCCGATATCAGGAGGGTTGCTTTTGCTATACGGGGTATATGAAACAATCTGACGGTCTGAAATATTTTAAAGAGGTACAGCTTCCATCTGAGAAGGTTGGAAACTGGTAAAGTCATTCCCAATTTTTGTGTTTGACTTTTATCCTGACAGGGATATCCTGATACCCATCTGCCCTGTGCTGCACGTAGATTGGATCGTGGTGTCTGAGTAGTCAGTGTGACTAGAGGAGTGTTTCAGCCTGTTCTTATTTGCTGGACCAGGGCGTTCTGCTCCCTGCCTCCTATAGTATAAGGAAGTATTTTTTTTTTAATGTGGCTTGGTCTTTGAAATAATCTACTTGTATGTTAGTACCAGAAACAGCTTTTGATTTGGGTAAATTCTTAGAAGATGTGAACTTGATGTGTGTGCCTTCCTTCTGCAAAACTCAGATTGTTGCACTTTCTGGGAAGACTGCTTGTAAAGACTGAGGAATTATTCTGTTTCCAAGAAACGTCTGTTTTCCTCTCCTTCACGTGCGTAAAGGAGTAAGGGAATTATTCTGCTTCTAAGAAACGTGTTCTCTTCCCTCATTCACATCTATAGCAGGGTGAAAGAAATTAGGATACTGTATTTTAAAGCAAAAATGGGTTTACCTATGTTATCAGGAATAGTTTAAAGCATTTGGGGCCTCTGAGTTCTTTCTGTTTGCTTCAGCTGTGCTCTCAACACACTATGCAAAACAGTGATACTAAGGTGAACTATTTCCTTTCAATTTCATTTTCTGTTTCCGTACTGGAGTCTCAAATAGTCCGAGGTTATGCTGGGTTATCCAGAGCCAATTATTTTAATTTAATTATTATTTAGACATTTTCTATTTTCAGGAAAGTCTTTTTAGTTACTACTCATATTGTAGGCATAATATGAAAACCTCCTTCATACTGAGTACTCACTGACGTGAGCAGGAGAGTCTGACTGAGCAACATGAGTATTTAGGCCTTGATGGTAGTAATACATACTTGTGCGCGATAAGTTCACTTAAAGCAGATACTTTAACAGGAAGAAAAAAAGTAGATTTTGAGTCATGTTTAATTCTCCAAACTCCTGGGGTTCATACAGTGAAGGAGCATTAAAAATGCTCTAGCTTATGAACTGTACATCATGCTCGGCAAGTAGCTGTAAAGGATCCATAGTTCTTGGACCTAGGCTTGCCAAGATTGCAGTACTCAAGGTATAAACCTACTCATTGCTATTATTAAATTTATCTACTGTAAAGGACAGCTACAGGTAAATTCTGTGTCACTTTCTGGATTTGTTCAAATAAAATACCAGACACAAATTATGACATTTTATGTGCGTATATATACACACACACACACAGATATATTTAAAAATGTACTTAAGTGAAGAGTTTATGCTTGCAAGGGTAATTTATTTTTCTCCTTATATATGAGGCTGATATATATGAGACTGATAAAGTATTTGTTGTGTCGTAGTTCCATTAGCCTGGTTACTCTTATACTAAAACATGGAAATGATTTCTTCTATTTAAAAAGTTGCATTGAAAGAAAGTGTTATATTTCAGTAATTTTACAGTTGTGATGAAAGCCATAATTATATGTAATTAAATTTAAAATGCTCTTAAATGTCTTCTACTGCAGGGTCATAAAGGGATGCCATCTTATGACTTTTGTAAGGTACACCTCGTTTTGGAGGACTTGCGCTATGTTTCAGCCTCTGAAAGCTTGGAGTTGTGTTACAACTTTAACATCATTTTTGATGAATCTGTTTCATGGCAACTTGTGAGTCTTGGGAGGAAAAAAGACTGTTGGGACTGTTTGGAAGTCCCTTAGATTCCTAAATGCTCTGTGAAATTTGCAGTAATTTTGGGGAGGGAGTGAAATAAGGGACATGTACCTGGTATTTTCTGTCCTACACATCTGCTGTAGATGTTCTGAATGGGACAAATACTTATATTAATGTAAACCTATAAACCTCCATTAGAGATTCTGATTCTTAATTTCTTATTCTGATTCTTAATTTTCTTATGAATTTTTTTAATGTATCACATAGTGCTTGCGGAAGATGATAAAATGAATTACAGTTGTGTTTCTATAAGCCATATAAATCTGCATAAAACTACTTTTTTGAAAGAAGAAACTAAGTTTTCAGCAGTGGATGTCTAAAACCCCGCTTTTATAACTTTTTAAAGTAATTCTATAACTGGGTATATTTTTCAGAATCAGAACCTTTAGGCATTGTGATAATTTTCACTCCTAAGCACTGTGTAAAAATATATGCAACTGATTTTGAAAGTTTTTCCCTTCTCCTTGCCAATTTTGTAGAAGAAATATTAATTGATCTATAAATGATGAAAACCTGAAGTTTAAATTGATCTTATGTAATGTGCTTTGAACTTTTTCCCCATAGCTGCCATATTTGCTCCTGATTAAAAATATAACATAAGAAGATTTGAAGGCATTTATGAATACTTTATCATGGTGAGTGTAAAATCCTTGAAAGAGGGCGGAGGCACTTACCACGTTCTTGACTTTGCAAGTGGTCTAAGTGTTATCCTATAGAACCTACATCCATAAACTTCACGTGGATACAACTAAGGCCTTAGGAAAGTGTTGCTGAGTCTGATCTCTTGTGACTTTATCTTGCCCCATCTCTTTAACATAATTGAGTCTGATTAAGTTGCCCTTGAGTTCCACCTTCATACATCATCTTAAACTCACCGGGGAGGTTCTTGCCCCTGAACTGCCAGTGGGACCGCTTCATCCCTTTCTGTTGGAGTCCTGCTGTATCATTATCTGAAGCGTTATCTAACACCTTTTTGTTCAGCACTTAAAAGCAATGTGGTTCCCCCTCTGCAATTTTCCACTTTTGTATTACCTTCATTTTGCCCTTGAGCTGTTGGATGAAATCTGAGTTTTTTGTCCATCTTTCCAGTTGCCAGGAAATCAGCACACTGGAAAATAGTGCCCTCATTTAGTAAATAAAATGCGCACACAGCACCTGTAGATGATTTGTCACTGAACAGGTAAAATTAATAGATGGGTTTTTTTGTTGAAAACGCCGCAGTTCATGAACTACAATGGAATAAACTGTGCTAGTATATTGCAGTAACATCCTGTCATATTACGCATATGCAGCAAGATTTACTTAGGTAGTTTAAAAGTGGTGCACACTTCACTATACAGTATTACCCCGGAGAGGCAGGAATAACAATTTTGATATTTTTTTTTGTGCTGCTAAATTTATATGTGTATACGTATATATGTGTTTGTGTGTATATACACATACACACTTTTAACCAGTGTTTTCACAGTATAAAATTGCTACATGCTTTCCTAGGGAAAAAGAGTTGAATCCTAACAATAAATGCTCAGAACTTATATAGTAGCTTATTCTTATAATGCTTTAGTCTTTGCCTAGAGAAGTATACTTTTCTAACTGCTAGTTTATAGTATAATTAAAACTACCTATATATATATATTTACCCTGCACATACTGTACAGGGTTAAAATAATAATAAAAATTAAATAATAATAATAAACATAAAAAGCTGGAGATCTTAAATACCTAAATACTGTTGATACAGTTGTACTCCTGAGAGCCTGATGTTTCATATTTGATCCTGGCATCTTTGTATGTAAAAACATACAAAAATAGCACTGAAGGTATGAAAGAGAGAATTGTTGAGTTTGTACAAAATGTGCAGCTAGGGTAAGATCTAAGATCTATTCTCAACGTAGCTCATATGTTGTCCTTTGAGCCGTGACAAGTGTTCTGTAATTGTAGATGATAGCTTTTCAGTGTCGAGTGTTCATTATCATCCAGTGACTCCAAAGGGTAAAGATGCATTTGGAATTTCTTAAAACTGAGTGCCTAGTCTGTGTTAGAGAAAAGAATTTTGCCTGTTTTTGCCACCCCCACCTTCCATCCCATTAGTTTTTCAGCTCGCTGGTGTGATTATCTGTCTTCAGTACCTGAAGTGGAGTTGTTACTGTTTTGTCTTTTAATAGAATTATTTGATGTTTGAATGTACAGATAAAAGAAAATGACGAGAAAAGTAACTAACATCTGGTCCCGTGTATTTGGTGACCAAATACAATTAGAAATACCTTTGTGAAATCATCATTCGGGCTACTTAAGTCACTGGCCAACAATCTCGGATGTTTGGTAAGGGTTTGGGAAAGCATTATGTTAAAGTATAAAGTAGACTTAATTAAAAAGAAAATACTGTATAAAGGTACAGTGCACGCTGAAAGGATTCTAGCAGCTCCTGGAAGATCCTTGTTTAGAAGAATCAGTTCTCAGCTGCACAGAGTCTGATTCTCTCTATTGCCAGTTTTAATCAGCACAAGTTAATGAATTTCCATGAATTCCTTTGGGTATACGTGGGAAGAGAATTGGGCCAATATAGTTCTATAGAGTTCCTGAACTGTAAACATCCCTTTGATTAGAGCTTCTTGAATAATGACTGAAATAGGTCCTATGGTGATGCTGATAGGCAAAACAGATTTTCTAGTTGGAATGTTGAACAGATGGAACTATAGACATAGCATGAAACAGGTGCGGTAAAACAGTTTTTGGAAAATCCCTCTCCAGAACCTGTGTTTGGAAATCAAAGAAGGGGGGCTTGAATGAAATTTTTGATCAGTGAGTTTTTGAATGGTAACACTACATCTGTATTGTGCAGCAATGGTGTACACCTCTGAATAATCTGAAATTGCTGATGTCCTTAGAAGCATTACATGGCTGCAACTCATGGGTCTTAGATTAACCATTCTGTTTGAAGTCTGAGTAGTTAATCATTCCCTTTTAGTAGATAGGATGTTTCAGCTGGAAGTCAGTTGCTGGGTAAATTAATGAGCAATAAGTAGCATTTCAAAAGGGAATGTGAGCAATTTCCTCATCAGATGTGGTTTTATGCTGAAATCTCATGATTGTCAGCAATGAAGTTAGTTATATGCTGTGTTTTTGTTTGCTTTGTTATTCCTTTTTCTTTTCTGATGCCAGAGAGATATTCTCTATGTGGTGCATGAAACGCATGTGCGACCTTTAAAAAAAAATCCTGTAGAAGAATGAATATAGGTGCCATGCGGCATAAAGGAGGAATTAAAGTTCTTAGACAACCAGGTTTGGTAAAAATTACCCTATTTTGGCTGCAGAGGAATTTGAAGGCGACAGTCAGAAAATACGTAGCACTGTAACTGCCAGATCTGAGGGCAAAACATTGCTCTATACTGCTGAAAGTAAGCAAAAATGACTAGCTATAGCTAACTGACAGAAGAACATCATGTGGAATTGTGGTAAAATGAAAAACTAAGGTGACCCAGATTTTAAGGGAACCACAAGCAGACAGTTCTGAAAACACAGCTAGCAGTTTGGAATGGAAAATTACGCAGGACACGCATGTAAACAGTCTTTCAAAACTCTTAACGTCTTCAGTAACGCAAAAAAAACCAAAACAGTTTATTCATGTTAGGAATTAATTAATAAGAAAAATAGGAAGAATGTTTGTCAAGGGAAAAGATACCTTGTGTGAACTTTTAAAATTTATAAGCAGGAGCCTGCTGATCATAGCGTGCATACGAGTAATAACACTTTATTGTGAGGTACCTCAAATTGAAAGGTAACTTCCCTGAATTTAGTGCAAAAGGAGGAGAAACTGCAAGGGTGTGTGTTTGTTTTTGTTTTGTATTTTTTTTTTTTTTTAAATCTCTTCTGCCGTATAAGCATAGGATGACCATGAGAGACTATGGAAATAAACCACTGCCTAGCTAAGTAGTTTTAACGGGTTTTCTTCTCATGGAACACTGGCCCACCTTCCTTGTGGAGAGGAGCTAAGGAGTGTATAGGTCCTCTGCTTCAGGGGAAAGCGAGTTGCACTTTGGAAGACAGGCTCATGGAAGAGTTAGAGGAATGTTGAACTAACGGCATAGGGGAGATTGGAAAAAATCGTGAATGAATGCAGGACGCTTAGGAGTGGAAAAATAAGCAAGACACCAAGCAAGATCTTTAGTTGTCAATACATCAATGCTGTAAGCTTTGATAATAAATAAAAGGAATCAAAATTGCCTTTTAAACATAAATATGATTTAGTTAGCATTACTGAAACCTTGTGATTGGATAACTTGGGATTAGAATGACCAAACCAACCAACCCCACTGTATGCATGGTTATACCTCGTGTAGAAGCTAATATTCAACAGAAAAAGGTATGAGGAGAAATCTACATTACCTTAGTAAGGAATTGTACTATTTTTGTTCCTAAAATACTGTAATAATTACATTGAAATTAAATAGGAATGACACATTTACTAGGGCAGTTCGAAAGAGAGCTATGCTACTACCTCCATTTGGGGAAAAACAGATGAGGTAGCTCTATTATTGAGTCACGAGGAAACATATTAGAGGAGTAATTTAGAAAAATAATTAACAATGACTATAATAGACATTGTAAAATGCTTAGGACCAACTGATATGAATACTGGAGCTTTAAAAGAAGTGCAAGTAGAGATCACTGAACCGTTGATATTTGGTAGCAGACTCACACTGGGCATATTTCAGAAGACTTAAAAATATTGACAGAGCCTTTACTTCTCAAATAAATAAATAAATGTTGTATGTATATATGTACATCCAGAAAGCCAGGTAACCACGGGATAGTGAGCCTGACTTTAATCCCAGGTAATAAAATAACTGACAAAGGATTTGATTAATCAAAAATTAAAGGGGGTTTATATAATTAATACCAAATGAACATGCTATTACAGAAACTAGATCTTGTC